GGTTGAGGGTCTAGGGTTTAGGGTCGAGTGCTAGGGTTGAGGGTTTAGGGTTGAGGTTTTAGCGTTTAATGTCATCTAGGGCTGATTTTGGAAGAGGGGCAGTGCTGGGGGCTAGGGCAGGCCTGGTTGGACACGGGAGTAAGGATCATACACTTTCAAGGCTTAGGTTAGGGCTTAAGCACTGAGAGTAATCATCATACTTTTTGACTCACTAGTGCTTGAGGGAGAGTGGGGGAGTAGACGCCTACATTAATTTCATAGCCCCTATATAAGTATAAACGCCCAATGGGCACTAAAACATCAAAGCCCCGCAGATCCCTACGTAGAGTGTCTCGAAAACATCTTTACACAATCCTGACGTGTCATCTATATGATCCGCTCAAAATCTCTACATATCCAGAGGATCCAAAAACGACATCCCAAAATCCGGAGAAAATGCATACCGGAACCCCAAACCCTAGCTACGGGTCCCTAAGCCTCACAAAAAGGGATCTAAGGGCATCCCCCCAAAGCTAGCATGGAACCCATCTTGCTCCCTGCTAAACGGACAAGAGTCTTCCTAGCGCCTTGTTGTGGTTCCATGTTTGTTTCTGAAATCGTAGATCTGAACCCTTGAACTGGAGGGAGGCATAGTAGCCCCTAGCATTGAAACCCTCAACAACATAGCCCTAACATCACCCTTATTTGAACTACGCTCCATATTTCCCATACTCTGATTAATGAACATGGGACATGGGTCCTTATCAGGAAACATACAAGGGACTGAACTACAAAGAGGGACCCTCATGTCCTACCTTAATGGTCCCGTCGTAACCCTGACATTAGGGTTTAGGATTTAGGGTCATATTAATAATCCCTATAAACCACTATATACTCCCAGTCTCCATTTCATTTTCCATTTCCGTTTCCATTTGATTCTCCTTTATTTGGGGATTTCATCCCTTGACTCTATCCCTAGGCCCTAAACCCTAAACCCCAAGTAGTAGTTTCCATTTTATTTCCACTATCCCGATATGACCCCTATATACACCCTAAACCCTAAATAGTAGTTTTCCATCGTATTTTCCATTATCCTTATATAAACCGTATATAAACCCCAAACCCTAACCCTTATATAAACCCTAAACCCTGAGTAAACCCTACTCGGAGGGTCAGGGGGACTTAGTAAGTAGGTTACTAAACCCTATAACCCATATAGTAACCCCAGTTATCCTAATTATTAACCTACTTACTAAGTCCCAATGACCCTCCAAGTAGCTTCCGTAAACCCCTAAATCCCTAAATCCCTAAACCCTAAACCCCTAAACCCCTAAGTCCCTAAATCCCTAAACCCTAAACCCCTAAGTCCCTAAACCCTGAACCCCAAAACCCTAACCCCTACTCCCCTGAAAAGGAAACCCCCCAACTCCCATCGTGCCCGCCGAGCGACCCGAAGTTGCAGGCGCCCACCACGGTGGAGCGAAGGCACCGCTTGGGCTGGAAGAACTCCTTAGGGTGGATCTACGGGTATAATTTAGGATTTGAGGTTCAGGGGTTAGAGTTTGAGGTTTAGGGGTTTAGGGTTTAGGGGTGTTATAAAGGGGTATCATGTAAAGGAAAATGGAAACTACAATAATATAATAGGATATATATGAGGACTATAACCTGGGTTATATAGGGATTCTGGAAAAAATGGAAACTACGTTTGAGGTTTAGGGATTTAGGGTTGCAGCTTTGGGAGTAAAGGGTTTAGAATTTGGGGTTGAGGGAATTTGGATTTAGGGTTTTGGGGCTTAGGGTTTAGGGTTTGGTTTGGGCTTGTGGTTTTGGAGTTTTGGAGTCTTCGGTTTCTGGGGTTTGAGAGGTTTAGGGGGTCATGGTTCAGGGTTTGGGAGGTTGAATGTCATGGGTTTGGGCTCTAGGGATTAGGATGATGGGACTTTCGGGATGGCGCACCATGGAGTAATACTTTCTTCTGCCAGAGAACACACATACACGCACTCCATGTCCGAGACCGCCATACCTCTAAACCCTAAACCCATAAACCCTAAACCGCATGCATCTAAACTACTACTCACCCAACTCCTCGCGTTATTGAGTTGTTGCTACAAGCCGGACATTCAGTAAGGAGACCATGTTGCTTACGACTTACGAATTATCCACTTTTGGTAACCTACTGCAAGATGCTGAACACCTGCCCAGCTAAGGGACCTGGCTTCAGCACAAGTTCAGGGATGGACATAAACCATGTCTGTTAATTCTAAGGACAACCCTGCCCCCACGGCCCAATGCAATCCATAAACCGATCTGAAAAAAAAACATCCTTATCCTGAAAGCACATACCCCCTAAACCTCAAAATCTCCACACCCTATACGCCCAAGCTCCTAAAGCCCGAGCTGTTTTGGGGTTTTAGGGTTAAGGATTAAGGGTTGAAGAGTCTATTGCTTGAGATTTGGTACTTACCTCAGATTAAGTTTAAGGCTTCAGGTTTCCGGCTTAGGGTTTAGGGATCCAGGGCTTTAGACATGGCAAGTTCTTGGAAGCATGGTCCCCTTTTAGGGATTCAATTTGGTCTAGAAATACTGTTGATGGAGGAAATCTTGCACCACCTTAAGTCCCTAAAGTCCTAGGAATTACAGTAGTCCAAGATTTCATCCATCAACAGTATGGCTCCTTTCGGGCTCAAATTACAATACGCCTGCTAGGATGGAGGGCCCCCAAAAATTGAGTAGCGTTTTTTTGGTGGTTGCACCTCGTAAGATTATATTCCTTACATAAAAAAATACTATACCCAAAAGGAAGATATAATCTTACTCTATGATGGGTCCCGAAGTAACCCCAAATAAAATACTACTCATTTGGACAACCTCCCACATGCAAGAGCCTTCCACGTCATCTCCTCCCGCTTCAAGTAAAACATCCGCAGCTCGTTGAAAGGTGACGAGATTACCTTGCCCCCATAAAGATCAGCGGTTCTGGACTTGGGGCTTAGGGCAGTCTAGGTAGAGGTATTTTTACTTTTGTCATCTCTACTAGAATGTCTGAGAGCTTGTAGGATATTAGCTGACTATACCTAGGTTTCATTCCCATCTCTCACCGTTTAATAGTTTCCATCATTGCATAACACAAGCTGTGGAGCATTTGCAAACAGGAGTGCGGATGTTGTATAATGGACGGGAGGCCAGAGGTTACTTGGAGTTCTGGACCCCCAAACCTGCACAGGTCAGTAATTTAGACCCTGATGAATAAACCCCCTCCTTTTAAGGGCCTTGATAATCGGATCCCTATTATAATCCGCATTAAGGGGAGGGGGTGATTAATCAAGGGTCGACATTACTTAGCAGCTGCCACTTTCATGCAGCCAGGAAGTTCGTTGATGAACGAGCATGACTCCCCTAGCTTCTTTCACAGCTCTTTTCTCGGTACACAAGCAATCCACATCCTGGGCCGAATTTTCTGCTCTTTCCGTCTAATGAGACTCCGAAATCCTATCTGTGTGGGGCTGCCGCTCGACTGTACCCATTGACGTTTTGGATTTCACGCAGTATTGCAAACCACTATGGGCTATTAGACCCCAAAATTCCCTATTAGGACCCTATTGAGGCTATAGTCCCCCTCTCGTAGATAGAATACCCAAGATTCTATCTAGTTAAGGGGGACTATAGATTAAGGTACCCTTAAGGTCTAGTAGCCCATATTGCAAAGGCAGCAAGTTGACGAATAGCAAAGTGCTGCGCTGTTTAGGCCCAGCGCGAGCAACCGCAAGCAGGATAAGCAGGAGCCCATGGAGTTAGGGTTGGTTTAGGGCTGAGGGTTTCATTCACACGCGCCTTTCTGGCCACATCGGCTGGAGAACTTGAAATATGAAACTTTGATATAGAAATGCCAGTGCGAGCCTCTTGTACGATGTTTCTAAAATACTGCTGCTACTAAACACCCCGCATGACCTTGGTATACAAAGATAGGACAATTAGGTACAGTATGAGGTGCATAGGGTCAGAGTCAATATTTCCTATACAATTTAATGGACATGGGTTCCTTACTAGGGACTATATGATGGACTATAGTGAGCATACTAAACTACCGGAGGGACCCCTATGTCCACTGCTAAGGGCCCCGCAATAAGGCTAATATTGACAGTAGCTCACATGGCTAAACCCCAAGGGTTTAGGGTTTAGGGTTTAGGGTTCATGGCTAAACCCCAAACCCCGAATCCCAAACACAAAAGAGCCAGGCCACACATGTGAGGAACATGGACAAGGCCATGGCCGATGGTGACTGACGTGCCCAGCCAAGCGTGAGAGCGCAGAAGCTGTTCACCTGAGTCACTGGGATACCCTACTAAGGGTTTAGGGTTTAGGTTTAGGGTTTCCCTTAGGTACCTTCGGAGGGATTGCAGGGGGTTTGGGGCCTTGGGATCAGGATTTAGCATGGTGTAGGGACTAGGGCTTAGGGTGTAGGGATTGGGGGTTTTGAGTCTGGGGATCAAGGTCTGTGACTCCGGGCTTGTGCAAAGAACAGGATGGGCCTAGGCTCACGAGGCACTGCAGGAATCCCTATTGGAGTTTGGGGTTTAGGGTCTAGGGATTGTACCGGCTTAGGGTTTAAGATTATGACTCTTTAGGAGGACCCCCCCACCCTGTAATAGTCGTACGTATAATAGGAATATAAGAGCGCCCTAATAATTGTCCTTATAATGCATTATGGCCACTATTACAGGGTGGGGGGTCCACCTACATGATTCTGAAGGCTTGTAACTTGTAGCTTAACAAAGGCTTCTGAGGTTGCATGCGCGCGGTATGGTTCAGGGTTTGGGGTTGCACAGCTCGGCCAGGCATGGGGTTGTGCTTTGGGCTGTTACATTGAGGGTTCTACATGGTTCTCAATGTTTACACAAAACATCCACCGATGCCCTCCCAATGTCCCATCCTAACTCCGCATGAATCGTATCTACATTAAGTAGATCCCCCACCCTGCAATAGTGGTATACTCGGAATATACGAGGACCCTAATGAAATACTATACCCAAAAGGAGGATATAATCTTACTCTATCTTGGGTACCATCATATCCCCAAATGGAATCGTGATTCCCAACCCTAAACCTTAGACCACAACCAAAACCAAAAACCCTAAACCCTAAACCCCACACCCTAAACCCTAAACCCTAAACCCTAAACCCTAAACCCTAATCCCAACCCAAGCTTCCCTCGTGCGAGCTTGAGCTCCGACGATGTCACGCACCAGAGTTGGCAAGTAGGCGGCATACCTTAGGAGGACCCCCCAGGGTTTAGGGTTTAGGGTTTAGGGGTACCCTTCTTAGGGTTTAGGGTTTAGGGGTACCTTTCTTAAGGTTTAGGGTTTAATCCCTCCAAGGGATTATAGGCGATTATAGAGGATATGTAGGGCCAAACTTAGGGATACCCTTAAAGGGATTATGGGGGAGATGTAGAGCCAAAATATAACATGCCCTTAAAGGGATTATAGGGGATATATAAGGTTTAGGGTTTCTATTAAGATTTCGGTCCCTAGCGTTTAGATAAGCTCCGGGAAGGATAGAGCCCTACTAAGTTTAGGAAGCTTCGTGAAGAACTCTATTCCTAACACCTCTGCCCTCAAAAAAGTCTTTCCAAGAAGAAATTCATCCTTCGGAGGGTCCTCGGAAGGAACCTCTAAACTCTTGGCACACTCACATGATGTGATGCAGATACTGGGGAGTCGCATGGCGCCTTTGCGGAAGATTCTGAAAATCGGAGCACCCCACTTAAAACTTCCTGGGCAGTTACAAGTGGGGCTAGAAGCCTCATTCAAGTTCAGTTCACACCATAATTATCTTTTATCAGCCCTATTTGTAACTATCCTTGAAACTCCAAGGAGGGTTTAGGATTCGGGACCCTGGGATGTATGGGGCTGCGATCGTGTTCCCCTGAGGGGTTTTCTAGGAAATGTTGGGCTTTAGGGTTTGTTGTAAAGGTTCAACTTCCTTTGTAGATCCTGGGTATGGGTCCCGCAAGGGGCGAGAAGTCAACATGCAGGGGCTCAGAATTGGGTGCCTGTTTGACACCCTCAACCTTAAAACCAATGTCTGAACTCCAACTTGAAGGGTCATTGCTCGAGGATTGCTCTGAATGCTCCACATGAGTAGCGTTTTTTTGGTGGTTGAACCTAGTAAAATTATAGTCCTTATATAAAATACTATACCCCAAAAGGAGGATAGAATCTTACTCTATATTGGGTACCATAGTATCCCCAGATAAAAAATACTACTCACATCGGCTGATGCACTTCCAAACTGGCAGGCGGCCCCTACTTACCTCGAAGGGCTGGAGGACTTGTATTATACCCACTTATACCTGTGGGCAGATCCCTGAATAAATTATGAATCCCAATAATCTTCCCAATATGAGTATAATAGACAGACCCAAACTTCCTGGTGGTTGGCGGGGAAGCGGGCCTACGAACCACCAAAATGCACTAATTTGCAATGACATTTTTGCTGCACGTTGTTCAACTGACATTGCACGGCGCTGCTGTCGCCACCCTCTCCCGGATTGCCCCAGCTAACAACACGCCCATCGCCCAAGATGGCAGCGAAAGCACCATGAGATGATCGGACCTGCTGAACGTTCTTCAGCAGATGTTGCACGGCATTGCTGTCGCCACCCTCTGCCGGATCCCCCCAAGAGACGACTGATCCATCTCCCAAGATGGCAGCAAAAGCAGCACAAGATGATGCGATATGCTGAACATCTTTTAGCTGAGATTGCACAGCACTAGAATCGCCACCCCCTTCTGCAGAACCCCACGTGACGACAGATCCGTTACATAGGATGGCAGCAAAGGCATTGTGAGACGACTGGATCTGCTGGACGTTCTTCAGCTGATGTTGCACCGCACTACTGTCGCCCCCCTTCTCGACATGGCCCCATGTCACGACAGATCCATCAACCAATATGGCAGCAAATGCACCAACACATGCCTGAATCTGCTGGACATTCTTCAGCTGGGATTGCACAACACTGCTGTCGCCACCCCTGTCTGCATCACCCCACGTGACGACAGAACCATCGACCAACATGGCAGCAAAAGCACGTTCAGAGGATTGGACCTCCTTGACATTCTTCAGCTGATATTGCACCGCACTACTGTCGCCCCCCTTTTTCACATGGCCCCAGGCGACGACCGATCCATTGCCTAAGATGGCAGCAAAGGCGTCAACGCTTGAATGGATCTGCTGGACGTTTTTCAGCTGATGTTGCACGTGGCCACTCTCACCGCCGGCATACGCAAGACCCCATGTGACGACCGACGAATCTCCCAAGATTGCAGCAAAGGCACAAGGAGAGGATTGGATCTGCTCCACATTCTTCAAATGTCGCTGCACGACCCTACTGTCGCCTCCCCATTCTTGATGGCCCCATGTCACGACAGATCCATCATTCAGGATGGCAGCAAAAGCTGAATCAGACGATTGGATCCGTTGGACTTTTTTGAGAAAATGATGCACGGAGTTGCTGTCGCCGCCCTGTCTTGCATCACCCCAGGTGACAACAGATCCGTCCCCAAGGATTGCAGCGAAGGCAGCATGAGATGATTGGATCTGCTGAACATTCAACAGCCGATGCTGCACTGCACTACTGTCGCCGCCACAGCTTGCATGGCCCCATGTAACGACGGATCCATCGCCCAAGATGGCGGCGAAGGCGCCTGCGGTGCTGCACAGTTGCGTCTGTTGTACCTGAAGGATGAGCGAGTCGCCGCTCTGCAGCTTGGCTTTTTTGACCGTTGCAGCTTCCTCCAAGATATCCTAGGTTCCCCAGTAATTAACCCAGTAACAATAAGGGTACCCCTTTTCGTACTGTTCAGCTTTAATAAGGAGACCCAAAAAAGTAAGGCCAAAAAGGGTACCACTGAAGTACCTAGTATCTCCGGAAGGATTCCGGAGCTGTCCCCGGCCCACCGCCAAAGCTTCTTGCGCTTTGCGCTTGAGTGTTGCCACAGGTGCCTGGGTTGCTGTTAAGGAACTTAAAATTAAGTTACCATAATGGGTATATGTAGTAAATAATAGGGTTCCCCAATATAGTAACCCTAAACCCTAAACCCTAAGCCCTAAACCCCATAGGGTTTCCCCAATATAGTAACTTAATTTAAGTTCCTTAACAGCAACCCAGGTGCTTCAAGGTCTGCTTCCAATGAGACGGTGCGGCCACTCAGCAAGCCCACCGTGACATTCACAGACATGGTTATATTGGGGTTATATTGGGCTTATATGGGATAATGGAAAAGAAAATGGAAACTACAGGGATTATAGGGGGTTATATAGGGGCTATAAAAATAATAGTTTCCCATGTTGCTGCCTCTCCTAAAAAAGATAGAAAACAAGATGCATTGTGAACCCATTTTCGTTGAATCTGCATCTGTATTAGGAGGGACATACGATGTGCGGAGTTGCAGAGTTGCATCTTGCACATGGAACTCAGAATGCTGGGGCCACGGATAGCTAACTCCCGAAAGCAGACTGGAAGTGTGCGCCCAGAATTGACGATGCTTAGCTGCCTTGCCATCTAATCCAAACAGAGCTACCTGCCATAGGAGGGTCCTCGTACCCTTAATTGGGGAAGTATGGCCCGTAATGGTGGGCACTTAGGCCCTAATAGAGGGTAGGTGGAGGGTCTAGGTGTAGGTCCTCCCACTATGCATGTCCTCCATTTTCAGGCAAACAGCATCACAAAATCCGGCCAGGATGCCTGAACCTTGCGCTAATGGCACTAATCTGGCTTGCTGCTAAGGAACTTGAATTTAGTTACCATAATGGGAATATATGTAGTAAATACTAGGGCTTCCCCAATATAGTAACTCAAACTAAGTTCCTGAACAGCAACCCAGCTAATCTTCAAGCCTGCAGGTAAACACTCATCGGCTCCATCTATGCTCTCAGCCTGAAACAAAGCCTGGTTGATGAATTCAGTTCATGCTCTGCGGCCTGAGGAATAAGTGTGGGCCTGAAACGACAGTAGGCTGGGCTCCATGTTTGCTCGTGGACTGTATCAAGCATTAGCCGGGTGGTAGCTCTTCACGTTCAGCCTTGACTGGCTGCCTGCCAAGGACATTAAATCCAAGCTTCAAAACGACTACCTGGACCGCATAAGTATGTAGAATAACAGCACTATTAGCTATTTCTACTGGTTTTGGGCTATTATTTTACCTACTTTTAGGGTTTGTGTGCAAGATTTCCTCATCATCCCCGCCTTTCAAAACTCCAAAGCACCAAGTCCTTACCGAATCTCCGGGGCCAAAGCTGGAGAGAGCCCTTGCGCTGCTAAAAAGTGCCAAACCCTAAACCCCAACCCCAAAAACCAACGCATAACCCCAGAACCTTGAAACCTACACTTAACCCACTATGGGCTATTAGACCTTAAGGGTACCTTCATCTACCCTTCACAGGGTCCTAATAAGGAATTATGGGGTCCAATATAGCCCATAGTGGTAAGCCCAGACCCTACACCTTTGAAAGGTGATGACTAAAAGCCCCCAGTTGGACAGGGCGCAGGTCTGTGAATTTGAATTTCTGACCCAGAGATCTCCGAAGTCGGAAGTTCCTGGGTGGGCGACGTATGCAGGAAGATTTGTAGTATAACAGCATATTCAAATATCTAACAGTATATTATAGTGTATTACAAGATTGACTGCCCAGACTTACGATGTAGCAGTAGGGTGTTTAGAGAATTTGGACCCTACAGCGCTGTTTTCTGGTTTCTTGTGCCGAGTGGTTCGTTCTTTTCGTTTCGCATTAGAAATTAATGAAGCCATGGTCAAGTGGAACCAACATCACAAGATGGAAAGGAAGAGGCGCAGGCCTTCCACATATGGAGCTTAGGGCCAAACCCGAAATGTATGCAGTTTAGGGTTCGGTTTCAGACTTGCTAAGCGACCCCTGAAAAGTTCCAGCCCTTGGCCGTGTAGTTAACTTGATAAACCTAAGCCATGACTCCTATAACTTTGGGGGCCCTAAACCCTAGACCCTGAACCCACAGTAAGAGTCTCTACCTTACCTGGCCAAAGGCAGAGGCGCGTGAGGGGCAGCGTCAGCGTAGGGTACAGTATGCCCAGCATCAGCCCCTGCATCCCGTCGGACCTGCAGCTTTTTAGGGTTTCGGGTTTAGGGT